CCTGCCCTTCAGTCATGTTGTCCACAGAGCGGGGGTTGGCCCAGGGAGATGCAGCCACCTGCAACTGTTCGGTTGCACATAATCACATCCATCTGCAGTGCAGGCAGGTTGACTCTGCCCTGCACTCACTTTGTCTGCGGTGAAAGGGTGGGCTTGGAGAATAAGCCTCCTACCGTGTGGGTGAATCCTAGACCTGGGCAGTGCACTGTAGTTGCCTCACCTGTGGAGGAAGGGTGGGCCTGGGCAGTCAGCCATCTGCTGGGCTAGGCAGGGCAGGAGGGTGTTTATCTTGTGTTCATTGGTTGTTGGAAAGAGGATGGGCCTAGCCAGGGACATGTCTATGCACAACTGTGCCAGCAACAGTTCTCTCTGGCATGCCTCCTGGGGTGAGGAGGTGTTCATCCTGGAGAGGTCCGCTACTATTTTGATACCTCCCCTCTACTAGGTCACATAGGAAACAGTGTGGGGAAGGGGTTGCAGGGAACATACCTGCACAAGTCCTTATGGGTTCTCTGCTTGTGGTTCTATAGTACTTACTAGGGTTGCCAAGTCTACTCACCCCTCGGAGCGGGGGACCCTTGCCAGGCTCCAGGAACTCTCAGTGGATGCGCGCGCCGGCAGCACATCACAGGAAGTGATGTGCTACGTGCTCACGTTTGGGGCGTGGGCCAGATTGTCGAGGGGGGGAACATATGGTTTTTCCCCCGACGATCTGGGCCATGCCCCCAACGTGAGCGATTTGGCGACGCAGCTTCGGGGGCGGAGTTCCCCCCGGGGCCCGATTCCGCCACGGCAGAAATCGGGCCTCCAAAGCGGGGGATTCCCCGCCTCCACCCCCACTTGGCAGTCCTAGTACTTACACATATTCATCCCAATGATCTCTCGCATGAATGGGTTTATGTACCCATAATTTAATGACTCGCTAATGAAGTGAAAGTGAAAGCCTGACTTGAACAACAGAATCTGATAGAAATGTACATAAAAGTCTAAGAGGCTGTCAGCCTTGTTAGCAACCAAAAGATTCTGTAAAAGGCTAGACTGTCCTTTAAAAAGTAGTAATTTAAGTCCTATGAGAAGACCGAGAAATACAAATCATAACAAAAGAAAAGCAACTTCAAATCAGGACAGGGGGGAAAACGCTTCTGACATAATGCATAATCATTCACTGCACAAAAATGTAGTGATGGCATTTGGCTTACATTTTTTAAAATGCCATTTAGACAGGTTCATGGAAGATGGGTGTTATTAGTCCATAACTAAATCAAATTTCTATGAACACCAGCAGTATACTTTTGATATCAGATGCTAGAAACAAATGATAAGGGAAGATTGTAGCCTTTGTGTCTTCCTTGTAGGCTTCTCAAACGTGTATAGCTGCAACTACTGGAAAAAGGATTCTGCACTAGATAGTTGGATCTTGTAAGGTTAAGCTGAGGTTCTTAATGTCCCCCCCCCACATCATGGCTCCTAAAAAAGACCAGAAGCATGCAGATACAATATATGTTCTATTAACAGAAATGAATATTTAGCCAGTGAACATTCTTTGTACTTGTTTTAAAAACAAATTGGTGGCATGTACTTCCTTCATCAGGTATTTGTTAACTTGGTATTCATTGACAAACCCAACACTTTATCTTTAAGCTATAGTAAGATTCAGGATGTGGTTGATATGTAGATTAACCATGTGATTTGAGCCTTATGAGCTTCAATTGATGTTTTCATAATTTATTTATTTAGAAAATATACATGCTGTCTCTCCAGCAACTGGCTTGAGACAGCTTGCAATGTTTTGCATCTTAAAGCCATGGGCTAAGATGGCGCCAATGGAACTTGGCCACTGGGGCAAACATAATGGGGGGAAAACCCTGTCTAAATATGAACCACCAGTCTCCCAATGAAAACCATGAAAGGCAGTACTGATAGACAAAATATTTAAGAAACATTAAAAAATTTAATCCATAAAGATCTAACATCCAAAATACACAAAAATATTTTATTTTTTATTTTATTTTATTGATTTTTATCCCACCCATCTGACCTAGGCTGGCTCATTATTGTGGCTATCTTTTTAACATATGGAAATTAATTGCCAAGGGTTTGCATGTTCTAGCATGATTAAGAAACATAAATTAGAATATAGTTATGATGGATTAATTTTCAGATGGTTTCATTAAGGACCAACGGATCAAGTGAATAGGGTGGGTCTGGAGTGTAGGTAAAAGGCAGCTAAACTTGTCCCAGAAACTCGGGCTATGATGGCTGTGACCTTATTTGTTGTATACTGAAACTTCCCACCATATGGATGTCATTTTTTCTTCTATGGGAAAAAGTAAAGATCTACACTTGGTGTTACAGTTACAGTGAAGGCCAACCTCAGCAACAACACTGAATGTTCCAGACTCAAATGATTCTTTAGGGAAAGCAGTATCTTTGACCACCAAACACACTGGAATGGAGTGTGGTCCCTGAGATCTTCAGAGAACAGGAGGTCCTTGGAATATGATTGTCATTTTTATAGCAATCTGTATAAAACCTAATTCCTGGCTTCCTGCCCTAAATTTCTGTGGTGTTAAGATAAACAGTTCTGCTATTATTTCAGTCTTTGATTTGCACTATAACCTGATCAGCTGGTTTGTGCATTACTGAGAATTAGTTCCTAATGGATACTCTGTAGAGAAAACAAGAAACTCAACAAGAAAGGATGATGTATTTGAGAACGTTTTTAATAAATAATGTGACAAAAATTACTTTTATGATTATTGAATCCTCGGTATGCAAAATTATGGCTAAAATATGAGGTTTTTTACATGAACATAATGAAAAACATTAATCACATGGATTGTTCCCTCAGTACTGCACACCCTTTCTATTGTAACCATTTCTTTAAAATTACCTAAATGAAAATGTTTAGCCCTCAGTAAATACCAAAACACTCCTTTCCTCCCCCCCTCCCCACTGAGGCTAGGCCTGATAATTGTCCATAAACAAACACACAATTTTCCATTAGCACCGATGACAAAGAAATTTTATAATTAAAAAAGAGATCATAAAAAATCTACAGACAGAGGACATTATTCTGTAATTTCACAGGAACTAATGGCTCTATTTCAGTTTTAGCAAAAATCCAATGTCTAGATAGGCCATAGGAAATTTGAGTGTTTATAGTCCAGGAAATGGGGAAGTGTTCTGTTTATGGCCCATTCTTAGGTTTGCTACCTTTACCATCTGTCAGCATTCAAATACTCCCAATAAAAACATAGAGCAATAACAAAAATATGAAAAAAACAAACAAAAGCTTAACATTTTACAATAAGACAAAAACGGTTAATAGTTACAATGTTTTACAAATAAAGTTTAGTGATTGTGCTTTTAAAACCAAAAAACAAAAAAGATAAACAGTGCATTACAAAAAAACAACCCCCCAACCCCCGAGATCAAACATAACTTCTTTAAGTGGCACTTCTTTAAGGTGAATTGACACTATAAAGCAGAGGTCTGAGATTTGGGCCAGTCATTATGAAGATATCCTTTCTCCATGATGCTTAATAATGTCCATTGCTCTGTAATTCTGTGTTTCTAGAAGCACTGGTTGAGATCAACGATTGTTCAAGTAACTGATAAACGTAACTCAATTTATAACTGCCAAGTTCTCGTTGGCATGCCTTCTTCCTAAACCTAAAGGACTTTTCCAGTATTGAATGTACCTTCATGATTAAAGGGATAATGTATATACAAATTAAAGTTCTATGAGGATTTGAAAAATGAATATGTATGAATTAACGTAACCTAAATAACAAGAAACTTTAAATTTTGCTGCAAAGGGCTGACTGCTGGAAGAAAATGCAATGCAGTGAAACAAATGCAGCCTATAACAACAATGTAAGGTTAGAAAACCCTTTGCATAGACATCATTCTTTGCAACTTGCTATTGCCTAATCAATGGTAATCTATAAAAAGGATTATGAACTGGTTTGTTGGTATGCATGTGTTATGCTGCACTGCCTGAGAGCAAACTAGAGCTCCTCCTTCTGATCAAATCTGGAAGTAGCAACTAGCTTAGCACCACAAAAAGCAGTTTAATTATTCTCTTGGTCAGAGAAAATGTGGTATATTAGCCTAAGGGAATAAACAGGCAGTGTTCATTATGATGAGTTTTTTTTAAAAAAGGAAACATTAAAATCAAGATTAGCATTCTGATGGCATGAAAAAATACAAGGAATTGTACACTTTGATTGCACTGAATATTATTTCTGGCATCAAATATCAGACTTGAGGCATCTTAAGTGATATCTTTTTGATCAGATTTCAAAAAAATGTGTAACAGTACATCTCTTCTTCAGCTTTCAGTTTCCTGTAAAAAAAATCAAAACCATTGCTGGGTATTATCTTGCTTGAGGAACTGGGATTTCAAAACATTTCCGTACGCCAATTTTGAAAACAAACACAAGGAAATCACTTTATGTCATACAATAGAAGGCTATTGCTTAAGCAATGGTTTAAAAAGTGGATAAAATATGACCACTATAAAAGAAGTGATTGTACGCAAGAAATATTTCATATAATTAGGGAAAACAACAATAACATCTTTCCAGCATAATCATGGCTACAGTTTAAGGCTAGGAAATTTACAGGCATGCGATTTCTTCTTTTTATTCTCATGACATGATAAGATGTTTAATATAACTTTGTTTCACATTTCTCTTTTCATGTGTTAACATCAAATCAATTAATCAGCAACAAAGGACTGTAAAAATCCTTGGCAAACATCCTCAAATATATACCCGTTTCTCCCTCCCCCCCCCAATGATCTTGGCCAACACTTAGATCAGTGTTGGAATTAAACAAATAAAACACCCTCTTGGGGGTAAGCAGAGTATTAACTGTGTATTAAATAAGTAAGTACAACTGGAGCTATCCCTATCCTCTGAGGCCATCGGTCCGAAGCCACTGTACACTAACCAACCTAAATATATTACCTTTAAGGGACAAGCATGTGCATTTTCACAACAGATTTTTCATACTCCAATGATTTATTGTCAGACTATTACCTGTAATTCTTCTTCTTCTTCTTCTTCTTCTTCTTCATCCTCTCCTCTCTCATATGTTCTAAATACCTGCATTTCTGCAACATTCCTTCGACACAGATTTGCTTGTTCTACTCTTTGTCTACCTCCTGATCCTCTTGATGACATAGAGCTTGAGGAACTGGGATCTCTAGTGTTGTTTGATGTTGGAAATGTGGGTCTACAATATGGCAGAATATCCTCTGTGGAGAGAATTTTACATTTGTTAGTATGGCCATAGACAGATGGATGCTCCAAATGTCTGAAATGGTAACAGTCTGGAATTTATGAAAGTTGGAGTTTACACAAGTATAAGCTACAATTGCTTAGGAGAACATGCTTCATTTTCAGCAGTACATCCATGGCTTTCTTGTTCATGCTTTGCATGTATGTCTTCGTTCAACTTCAGAACTACTTTGTCAACACTGGTGGAAGAACTGTCATCAGAATAGCACTGAGGTTAGGGAATGTATAACTTTTCATCAGAAATGGAAGCTTTATTTATTTTATTTTTTTAAATTTATTTTGGGATTTATATCCCGCCCTACCCAACGGCTCAGGGCAGCTAACAAGCGGCAATGCCGAATTTAAAATTTAAAACAGTAAAACAATATTACATACATAATAAAATCAGTGCTCTAATAATCTACATAAAATCACCAAGATGCGCAACATTCCACATTGGTGGCCAACTTTTTTAATGGCATGAGCACCAGGAATGATATTCTCCCCATCTCTGCTGGGCGACATCTCCCCCCCCCCCCCAGTAATGGGGTAGATGGATGATGGAATCTCAGTGGTGGAACAGTGGCGGCGGCGGCTCCTACTCAAAGGCCTGGCAGAAGAGCTCCGTCTTGCAGGCCTGCGGAACTGTACAAGGTCCCGCAGGGCCCGAATCTCCCCCGGGAGCTCGTTCCACCAGGTAGGAGCCGCCACCGAAAACACCCTGGCCTTAGTTTAGGCAAACTTCATACTTCGGGGGCCTGGGACTTCCAGGAGATGGAGATTCCCCGATCGCAGTGCTCTTGAGGGAACATACGAGAAGAGGCAGTCTCTTAGGTAAGCCGGACCCTGGCTATTCAGGGCTTTAAAGGTGAGCACCAGCACTTTGAAGTGAATCCAGTATGCTATTGGCAGCCAGTGCAGGGCTTGCAGCACCGGCCGGATGTGGTCTTGCCTGGAGAGGCCCATCAGCAGCCTAGCTGCAGCATTCTGCACTAGCTGCAGTTTCCGGATTTGCGCCAGAGGCAGCCCCAAGTAGAGAACAGAGGGTTTGGGTTGGTGCTGCTGTGGCCTCTTGACCTGATGGCAGCGTTCAATACAGTCGATTATGATCTCCTGACCCACCACCTTGCCGATGCAGGGATATGGGGGACTGCCTTACAATGGTTTTCCTCCTTTCTCTATGGTCAAGAACAGAGGGTGGGGCTTAGGGAGAGGATCTCTCCATGGTACCCGCTGGAATACAGTGTGCCACAGGGGTTGATCAGGTCAAGAGGCCACAGCAGCACCAACCCACCTTCATCCAGGTGTCTCCGAAGGTCATCTGTGAGGGCAACCAGTGCTGTCTCTACCCCATTGTTCTGTTCATGTGCGTATGCTGAAGGGAGGATGAAGAATCCCAGAAAAATTTGCACATATATGTGTAGGTTGCACCCAACAGCCATGGCTATGAACCACCAAGTTCATAATATATGTTAAGGATTTATTCACAAAAAACTTGTACTGGGTAGATAACGTAAACTTAAAGGTTTTAGATATTTACCAGGCTCAACACTGACACGATACACAGAATTGGAAGGCTTTTAATACCCACAAACTATAAAGTTTGCTCCAAAAAGTTAAGACGTATGTCAGCAATGGTTGTTTTTTATGTAGTAAAGATCCTGTATTGACATGGGATTGGGCATTAGAAAAGAAACAGTATTTTTTCTAATCATGAAGTTTCCAGTTCTGTAATTCTTTGTCCTAAATCAATACATAGAGTTTCCCCACTAATATTTTAACACTATTTTTAAAGGTGATAAATTACTTAAACACGAACAGTATTTCCAGTTTCAGTGTCACCAGCAAGTTTTGCCACCTGCTCTAAGCTATTAATACAGACATTGAAAAGCAACAACTGCAGCACCAATCCTGAAGTGTCCTGTTAATGACTTCTCTTTTTGCGTTTGAGCCTATTTAACCAATTTACTACCCAATTTCTATTCTTCTGTTTCATGCCCAGGGTGGCTGGTATTAAGTCCTGGCTTGTCTCTTTGATAACAGCTTTTACACAGGTCTATATAGATTCCTTCATACACATTTCTCTATCAGGTCTCACAGGTTGCCATAAACTGAGATTATGTTAGTCTGGTATGATCCATTTGTGGCTTTTGTAACATAGAGTGCACTGATATTTATAGCCAGAAGCCAGGCTGTTCTTTTGTTTATATATTCTTCACATTTTTAAAGGGGACTGAGTGGCCTTTACTGTGCCTTTTGCTTTTAGGAATGTGAAGAAAAATGAATCAAGTTTTAAAAACTTTTGAATGGAAATAAAAATACCATGATGCAAAGAATAAAAGCTCACATAGCTCTTTGTAAATGCTTTTCTTTGGGCTTCTTGTGTTACAGTAACCAGTGAAATACAGTCATGCAATGCAGTATGGGATGTACAGAAGACATTAAATTTCTAAAGGGAATTTGGTTTTATTTGCTTATGGCTTACTTCCCTATATTTCCTACTTGACACTTCAGGGCTCTATATTTGCTTTGTGGTATGGTATAATTAAATTCTAAGAGGCAAGATTCCATGTCCATCACAAGCAGAGGCAGTCCCACTAAGCTTCTATGTCAGCAGGGAATTTGGGTTGGTTATACCGCAAAAACTTTATTCATAACTACAGGCAAATCTTTAATTAACATATGCCCAGCATTTCAAGTCACCTTGAAGAAGATGTGTTTTTGCTGGTGTGCCATCTCGCCTTGCTGCTTTGTTCCCTCGCAGTTTGCTGTCATTTTGCTGTTCCTGTGTTTCCCGGCGCTCCGCTGAACTTGTCCGCATATCAGAATGCTGGCGACCATCAGAACCTTCTTTCCCTTTATAGCTTGTTCCTTTTCTTTCCACTGCCCTTTCTGTTCTAGGTTCTATAGAAGACAACTTTGGCAACATGACAGGCCGAACCTCCATTTGAGATTTGGACTGGGCAGTGGGAGATTTTATAGCAGGAGGTGGTACAGGAGGGGGTGGCAGGTCTACAGAAAGAAAAAAAGAATACACTCATTCAGCAAAATTACATTATCTTCATCATCATTATCATAATCTCCACATTTCCCTGCTGAGGTCCCTTCCCTCCTGAATCCTATCCTTGTCAAGTTCTACCCCCAAATATCCAGGAATTTTCCACCCTGGAGTTGGCAACCCTAAATTCTCAACATGGCCCTATTTGTGGATAATTAAATCTGGAGACTGGGACCACGAACAGACAAGACAGCTTTTCCTGTAAACCCGAGAAAGCTCCAGGTTGGCAGAAAAATCTGAAATGTTATACACACACACACGTGCATACATACATACATGTTTATGTGGGGTTAGCTGTTCCAAATCATAGAAGCAGCTGCTTTCAGAAACAAACACCCTCAATGCCCATTGCTAGGCAACCACAATAGTATTGCCAGCCTTCCAGCATTGGTTTCTGCCAGTAAAACACAGTGGAGTGGGGCACAGCCATTTTCAGGGCTGTTTTGGCCTTTGAGGGAGGACTCAACAACCTGGCAGCAGCTATTGGGTGACGTGATACCACACAACTTCGATGACTCATCCAGGCTCAGCTGTTCACTACTGTTCAACAGCAGCTACCCTATGAAAGCCAGTGTGGTGTAGTGGACAGAGTTTCAGACTAGGCTGCTGACCTCCATAGAAGGTCACTGAATGTTCCTGGGCCAATAACACATTCTCAGCCTAATCTTCCTCACAGGGTTGTTGTGAGGATAAAATGCAGGAGTGGAGAATGCTGCAAGCTGTTTTGGGTCCCCACTGCGGTGAAACATGGGTTATTAATGAAATAAATACATAATAAATATAGCTGAAGATGGGAAAAGATAAAAGGTAGGTGGGTGGGTGGGAAAGAGAAAAGGAGTCAAGGAAAGGTGAGAACATGGGGGTTTGCAAGGAATAGGGACATTTTAGGGAAAAAGGAAATAGTGTGGGATGGGGGATACAGGGGAAAGGGAAGTGCCATCCACAAATCCTTGAGGTTTCCCCACCATGCAGCTTGACCCAGAAACCTAGCCATAGTTTTCTTGGGTAGTGGCTGCCAGTGAGAAGGCAGAAAAACTGAAGATGGGGAGGGGGGTGTTAAATGTAGTTTGACTGGTGGGCTAAAAAGCAGAGAAGGAAGCATGAAAAAGGAGACTTGCTGATAGCGACTTTCAGGAAAGGAAATAGGAAGCAGCGGAGGGGAGGAAAATGAGATGCCCCTAGGAATTTTTTGCTGCTCTCCTGCTTGTTCTCACAGAGTTGGGTTTTTTTAACAATTTACTCTGGTGTGCATTCCTTCCTGTTCTCCTTTTCCATCACATCTGATTTGTAAGGAGTTGATGTAATATAGCGGCTGGGACACTGGGCTAAGATTCAAGAGATTGCCCCCCCCCCAAAAAATGTTGACTCTGCCACAAACTCATCCAGTGCTTTTAGGAAAGCTATTCTTTCTCAGCCAAGGCCTTTAGTGCAGGGTTTTTGTAAGGATTACAGCTAGGTAATATACATGAAGCACTTTGAAAGTACAAAAAATGAATAATTGCAAAGTATTGCTTTAGGACTTTTTTCTCTGGTCCATCAGCCTCCCCGTAACATATTTTTTTGCTTATATTCATATTTGCCAGTCAGTTTTTGTATTCCTAATATTTATATTTTTTGATGATGATATGTATATAAACAGGTTGCTTACCTGTAACTGGTGATCTTCGAGTGGTCATCTGTGCATTCACACCCATGGGAGCTAGTGTGCACGCGCTGGGTCGACCGGTGCTGTAGCAAGGTCTTTTAACGGATTTTCGCGCCCAGACCTCGGGCATGCGCAGGAACCCCACCGCGCATGCCCAGAGGGGTGGGCGCGGACATCCCGCCAGTTCCTTCAAACCGCCGCAAATCAACCCCTATTGAAAATGTAGAAGCTGGCAGCAGTGGGGAAGGAGGGCGGGTGGTGTGAATGCACAGATGACCACTCGAAGATCACAAGGTACAGGTAAGCAACCTGTTTATCTTCGACGTGGTCTCTGTGCTTCACACCCATGGGAGATTACCGAGCACTGGCCTACATGGAGGAGGGTGCTGACAGGTCCTTACTGTATCGCCGAAGACAGAATGTGACGTCCCATGTTAGTATTGGTGTTCTTATGGACGTCTAGGGCATAGTGCCTGATGAAGGTGTTAGGCGTGGCCCATGTAGCGGCTTTGCAATGTCTGTCAGGAGAATTCCCTAGAGGAAGGCAGTGGAAGTCGCAACAGCTCTGGTAGAATGAGCCCTGATAGGGCCAGGCAATGGCTGTTTGGCAATTAGATAGCAGAGATGGATGAGCCCCGCAATCCACTTTGACAGGCGCTGAGCCGTGATGCGAGTCCCCAGCCTTGCTGGTGTGTAAGAGATGAACAGTTGGGAGTCTCGTCTCGTTGGGCACTTCACATCCAAAGTGTGTAAGACTTCACATCCAAAGTGTGTAAGAGTCTGTCATCTGTGGATGTTGGAGTTAGGAAGAAATCCGGGAGGAAGACCTCCGCCTGCAGGTGGAACTCTGACACCACCTTCGTTAGGAAGGAAATGTCCGGTACGAGGTGGACTCCGTCTGGGAAAAACGACAGGTAAGGCGTATCGTGTCAGAAAGCCAATATTTCTCCCACTCGCCTAGCCGAGGTGACAGCAATTAAAAAGGCCATTTTCCATGCTAGACGTTTGAGGTCGCATGTTGCAAGTGGCTCAAAGGGCTTCCTCGTGAGCTGGCGGAGAACTAGAGGAAGGTCCCAGGGAACGACTGGAGTTCTGACAGGAGGGTAGAGATGCAATAAACCTTTTAAAAAAGGTTTTGAAAGCAGATGGGAAAACAGTGTGCATCTGTCAAGTTGAACATTGTAGGCTGAAAGGGCGGCCAAATAAACTCATAACGATGAATGGGAAAGTTCCGAGTCAGCTAGGAAGAGGAGGAATTGGAAAACTCTTTCGAGACCCACTGAGGTGGCTCGAGGGGTGTCATCACCTAAGGAAGAACAGAACCTTCGCCATTTATAATTGTAGGACCTCCGCGTAGTAGGTTTCCTGGAATTCAACAGAACGTTCACTACGTGGGTGGAGAAACCGGTGACGTTATCCTCCATGGTGTCAATTTCAATTGTGGTATGTCGTTATGTAGGAGAGGGGAGTCGGACAGGAGGAGGAGGTCCTGAGCCGGAGGGAATTGATGGTATATTCCTGTTGATAATTCGAGGACTGTTGAAAACCATGGTTGCCTCGGTCACCATGGGATTATTAAGATGCAGTCCGTGCCGTCTCTGAGTATTTTGCAAACCACTCTCAGGAGCAGAGGTAAGGGAGGAAAGAGGTACAGAAGTGCCATGGACCAAGGGTAGATCGTCTCCCAGAGATTGTGGATCCCTGCCTCCCCAGCTGCAGAACAGAGGACACCTTTTGTTGGCATTGGTGGCAAAGACATCGACTTGGGGAGCTCCCCACCTGTGGAAGAGTGGGAGGGGGTATGTTGGGTTCATCCCTCACTCGTGAAGGCTGAGTCCTTCTCGATTTAGATGGTCTGCCTGAACGTTCATGTGTCTGGGGATGTATGTGGCTACAAGGAAAGTAGGGAAACAGTGCCTCCTTGCTTGTTGACATAAGAGAGAGCTGTGGTGTTGTCCGTGAGGACCGTGAGACATTTTCCCTTGATTAAAGGTAAGAAGCTGGTGACAACATGTTGTATTGCCAGCAGTTCTAGGAAGTTTATGTGTCGCTTCCTATTCTGTGCGTCTCATTTGTCCCCGACGCACAGACCCATCATGTGTGCATCCCATCCTGACAGGGAAGCATCCATGGTCAGGGTGATTTGGGGTGACGGAGGGTGGAAGGGTGCTCCCTGGAAGATATTGGAAGGGACAGTCCACCAAAGTAACGAGTCTCGTATGTTGGGAGGGGGGATACGACGTTTGTGTGAGCGTTGTTCACTGGGTTGTAATTCCAGGTGAACCACAGTTGTAAACGATGCATTTTCAGTTTGGCAAAGACGAGAACTGATGTAGTTGCAGCCATAAGGCCAAGTAGCCTTTGGATTTGGAAGGCAGTGACAGAAGAGTGGGTACAGACGACGATGGCTAAGGAAATGATGTCTTCCACTCTGTCTTGAGGCAGGTAAGCCATGC